GATTAGATTCTAGAAGTGTCTCTCGTCCCTATTTTACAGATACGGAAACAGCTCTGGAGAATTTAAGAGATCCCAAGGCCAGACAGCGATGAAGGGACAGATGAGCTGGAACTCAAACTGAGTCTCATTCCAGAGCTTGTGCTCTCAAACACCATCTGACATTGCCTCCATCATTGAAGGCCTGATAAATGCTTGGAAGGTGCTGTGATGAATAAAGATGGTCCCAAATTACGAAGTTTTGAGTTACGATATTTCGACTTAATGATGGTGTGGAAGTGATGTGCGTTCAGTAGAAACTATGTTGACCTTGTCCAGGCTAGCAATAGGTGGTGTAACACTCTCTCGTGATACAGGTACTTGAGAAACAGCCAGTGCAAGAAGGACACTCTGACCATCCTTTGTCCCCTGAAAAGTAGGAGATAAATCTCCCATGTGAGGGGTACCCTGCCCTCCCCACCCCACATACCAGGAAGTAGAAGTCATCCTTATCACTAGACAGGGAATTTAGGGCCCAGCAGGCTGTATAAACAAACATTGTTACTTCCCCAATTTATCACACCCTTTGTCTTGTCAGTTCCTCATGAATTTATACTTTATGTAAAAGGTCTAAAAGTTTCCTGCTTTGGTCACATTTTAAATCTCATATTTTAATGGGGCTCCTGTATGTACAAAATTATTTTCTGTTCTGTTAATCTGTCTTATGTCAGATTTAACTACTAGATCAGTCAGACAACCTAGAGGAAGGGAACATTTTTCCACCCTATGATTCTATGGGCAGATGTATTGCTACCTTCTTGCCTTTTGGCCTGGGGCCTTTGTCCAGGGCCCAATATCCAGAACTGTGTCTGGCGGCCTTGGTTATCTCCATTTTACAGAGAGAGACATTGAATAATTTGCCCAAGGTCAAATGGTTAATAAATGGACAACCAGGGATTACCAACACTGAATTCTCGGCTAGCTGCTAGTGATTTCTTCTCCCTAACTGAAAGCTCCAACTCTCCAGGCTTAGGAGGGTAGACAGAACGAGTCATTGCTGCTCATTGACAGGACCTGGTCACCACTTCTCTGGGTGAATTAGTTCCCTCTTTTGTACTCAGGATGACTGACAGTGATGGCATTCACAAATCACGTTTCCTTTCCTATTTGGAAGACAGTAAAGCCAGCTTTCTTTGAAGGAATAGCTAAAACTGAATGGGAATGAAAAGGGCTAGACCTTGGTATGCTATGCTTTTTTAGTGACTGTTGCCCAAATCCCACAATTCATTGAGGAAACACTTTTGCAGCAAAGAGCCAAGAAGACCCCAGAGTCTTAGGAAAGGATTGTCCAAGGAACCCTGACATTAATATTGGACCTTTTACTCTTCACTCATGTTAAGCTCGTATTTAAATATACTTGCAGGAGTGCTTAGGGACCACTGAATGTATTATGTCATTGAGGAGGTCTGGTTGATTATAGGCAGGATATCTCAGGAACACCGGTTGAACTCAAACAAGGCTGACATCTAACCCAGAATCTCAATGTATTAATTCATAATGGGGAGCAACTAAACCTTAACCATTGGACATCTTTTCTCCTTGTCAAAGCGCTTGGGGGAGTTGAGGATTACTAATCAAGCTGCTGTGATTGAGTGTGGAATCCACACAGTTGCTAATGAGAAAGCTTTGTCACACTGGGAAACGCCCTCCAGTGACCTGTCCCAGATTCTGAGTCTGTCCCTCCCGACTGCACCAGTGTCTGCCACACAATGTCTTCTGAATGCCACCTTCATGATTTTTGCCATTCCTGCACATTAATACTTATTTTTACTTTAATTTTAAAACTTAATATTTATTTCAGCTTCATTATGAGCAATTATTTTCTGAAGTTATAGGTTCAATGTGCTATAGTTTTCTCATACACATCAAATTAAACACTAAAATAACTATCAAAATGAAAACTGTGCACGAATTGCCTAAAATCAGTGATATGTGTACAACACTTTGGTAATATTGCCTTAGCCATAATCGAAAAAACAAAACAAAAACGACACACACACACACAAAACATATAGATGTTTGTGTCTTTGAACCCTACTTGGTGTGCGAAAACACCATCTCTGATGACTTTCTTCCTTAGACGTGTTACTAGCACCACTGGTACCTTGGAGACGTTATACCCCCTCCCCCTCCATTCTGTGTTGATTTACAGGACTCTGACCTGCAACATTTAATTTTAAAAACCTTTTGTATGGTTGTGTACATAGCAGGAGGTTCTCAAATATTTATAGACCTAAGAATGAACATCTACTCTCCCTCATTTGAGGTCATCCATTTTTGGCTTACCAGTAGATTAAAATAAAACTCGAACAGCCTTTTGTGGTAGGCACAGCCTACATCAATAAGAAATATCATTATTTAGCTAATGTAGAGATAATGCTGAAAACATAAGTCTAAAATATCAGTTCTCGTTATCTGCATTACTTTGGAGAATGCAGTGCCTCTTTCTCATGTGTGAAGAGTTTTAATCTGTAAACTTCGACTCCTAACTGTGAGACACCTTTGAGGAAACTCTCGTCCCACCTTATTTTACGGGATTTAGAGAGTCTGGAGGAACTGTATATAAGCTTTCCAGTGAATCCTTTGAGACAGGAATCTTAAGGTTTAGCCACTGCCATTCTTTTCGGCAGACTGTTCCTTGAGAGATTGGCTAATTTCACTTGTGGCACTTGGCACGGTACATGGCATGCAGCAGTGCTCACTTAAAGCCTATTTAACAGCTGAATGAATTTCTGTCTTTTTTTCTATGCTGCAATTTATCACCACCACTAATTTGAAATCTGTCAGGGAGAACCGGAAATTAGGACGAACTGGCTTCACTTTCTTGGGACACACATCAAGGAGCACGTGTTTACTGATCTGTGTCTTTTTTCAGTTTACGTTCAAGTTGTCAAACTGTGTTGTTTTCACCCATTTTCTTTCCTCAATATGAATTTCAATTCTCATCAGAAGTCACTTAACCAGAGATAGTTCTCAAAAATTATATCAGTTGTGTTTTCCTAAAGAATCATTTTATTGCACTGTCTCCAAAAACCTATTCTTTCCAAGAGACGGACAGCAGAGAATGTTTGCTAAGTGTTAAAAAAAATTGTTCATTTCAGAAACTATCTCCAAGTTGTCCATACTTTCAAAAAAACCTAGTTGGTTATCACTCTATCTACACAATTCCATCATCTTGCCCTCTTCATTGAGCTTAAGACGTTTTGCAAGAACAGCGTTCAGTTCAAGGTCGGCGACGAACTCGCGGACCCTGCCCGCGAATCGGGGCCCAGGACCCTGCCCGCGAATCGGGGCCCAGGAGGATGCGCGCCGTCTCCCCGGTGCGACCTGGTTTAAAAAGAGACGCTAGGAAAGGCGACAGTCCTGGCCTGCCCTCCGTTCAACACAACCGTTCCCACGCAGTTCGCCCCGGAGACAATCTCGCAAGTCCAGGGCTCACGGGGTAGGTCCTGACACGTGCCCGGCGGCCGAGGCAGAACCGGCACGGGGTGGCGGTTCCGGTTCCGAAGCTGCAAGGGCAGCGCGAGAATAGGGCCGGGCCGGGCCTCGCATTCCTGACACGTGCACGGGATCCCGGAGCGTGGGAAGCGACGGAAATAAACCCGAAGGGAGATCCGTGTGGCCCTGGTCCCCCATCCTTTATAGGGGGACGGAAACGCTCCGGGCTTTCCCCTGCGGCCACGTGGCTGCCGGGCTCGAGGCTCCGCGGTGACCCCCGGGTCAGACGGTCCCAGCCGCACCGCTTCCTCTTCCTCGGGGTCAGAGGGCGGATCCCCTCCCGAGACGCGGACCCCAGCTCTGAACCGCCGCCTCCCGGACAGCTGCGGGCCGCGCCGCCCCCCTGCCCCCAGGCTGAGCCGCAGCGTCCCGTCCGTCCCGTCGCGTCCCGACCCGGAGCCGGAGGGACGCGGGAGCCCCGGGCACCGCCGAGGGGCCGCCCGCAGGGAAGGCCACGCGGTAGGAACGCGCGCAGCTCGCGCGCGGTCCTGTGTTAGGAAGTAGGGGGCGCGGCGCTCGCGCAGGGGCACCCCGGGCGCCGCACGTGGCGGACCCCCAAAGACTGCGGGACAAGCGGTCGCGGCCAAACGTGGCCCCCAAGGCCCAACGGGCCCGTGGCGTCGACGGCCCGCGAGCGGGCGGTGGGCGGGGCCGGCGGGCGGGGCCGCGCGCCATCCCGGCGCTGATTGGCTGGCGGCGCGCGCCGCCCGGTGCCATTTGCCGCGGCGGCGCGCACTTGACGTCGGCGTGGCGTGCGGCACGTGCGGCCGTTTAGGCGGCGGCGGCAGCGGCGCCGGCGAGGATCTCGGACCCGGGCGGCGGGCGGGCGGCCAGGGGTGAGCGGCGGCGGCTGGGGGCGCGGGTGGACGGGACAGACGGCGGCTGGACTCGCCGGGGCGCGGGTGGACGGGACAGACGGCGGCTGGACTCGCCGGGGCGCGGGTGGACGGGCCGGACGGCAGCCGGACTCGCCTCCCGCTCGGGGCTCCCGCAGCTGCGTGGTGAGGCCGGCCTGAGGGCGGCGGTGCGACCGTGCACGGTCGTGGGGAACCCGCCCGCCGGTGGGGCCGCGGCCTTCCTCCAGGACCCCTGTCCCCCCCCCCCCCGTCTCCGAGGCCCGCTCCCCGGGAAACTCGTCGAAGCCCCACGCCCAGCACCTTAACTTCCTTTGAGCGGACCGAGAAGGTCTCGTCGGGTGGCGTGGGCCCGGGCAGGGGGCCGACCGTGCGAGCGGCCCTGGGGACCGCCTGAGCTGACCGAGCCCCTGGAGGTGCTCCCCCAGTTTTTCAAGACGGGGGACCCCCACCGCCACGTGAGGAACAACACTCAGCCCCCCCCAGAAGCGTTTGCAGGGAGCACCGCGCCTCGCGGAGTAGTTGCGGGGGTCGGTGGGGGGACCATGCGATCTGATCAGATCAGGGCCCAACGTGTCTGTCTGTTCCCCGAAACCAGAGCAGGAACCCACCATGGGCGACGAAGACTGGGAAGCGGAGATCATCACGCCGCACCTGTCCTCCTACGTGCCGGTGTTCGAGAAGGTGGGCGCTGCGCGGACGGTTGCTAGGGGCGCCCCGGGCCCGCGGTGGCGGCCGGGAGGGCGGGAGGGCGACCGGGAGGGCGGGAGGATGGACAGCTGGGAGGGCGGGAGGGAGGCTGGCTGGTTTTTGAGGAACTCCGATTAGATTTTCAGTAAATTTTCTTGTCGTTTCCCGCCCCTCCCCCACCCAAACACGTTTTTATGAAAATTGTAATGATAGTAAAATTACAGCGGTAACTTTTGATTCTAGCTTTTTCGATGTTCACTGTTCCATGTTGCTGATTTCCTAAAAATAATCTCTGGTTACCTGATATTTCATGGGAAGGATCGACGGTAATGTGGTTGATTTTCTGTTGGTGTGAATTTAAGATGTTAGTTTTTCACTGCAGTAGTGTCACGAATATCTACAGTTTATTCTTAGTTTTAATTTGGGAGTATTTTTTTTTTTTCATAAATGGAATTACTTGGTCAAAGGATATTTTATGGTCCCCCGCCAGCCCCCTGTTCTCAATAGGATTGTTATATTACAAAGTCTAATTCACAGATACACTTTCTCCAGTGGACTTAACTTTTTTTTTCTTTATTGATTTTAGAGAGAGAGAAGCATTGACGAGAAAGAACATAGATAGGCTGCCTCCTGCATGCCCCCCACTGGGGATTTGACCCACAACCTGGGCATGTGCCCTGACCAGGAATCGAACTGGAGACCTCTTGGTTCCTCTTGGTTCATGGGTCAACGCTCAACCAATGAGCCACACCGGCCGGGCTCTCCAGTGGACTTCAGTAGTCACTTGTCTAATTTTTATTTTTTCTTCATCTAAGATTTTGTCCTTGTTAAGCATCCTTCAAACAGTACATTGCAAACATGCCTTGTTTCATGATATTAGGACTACTAACTTGAGTATAATTTTTGTTAACAAATCTACTTTATGATTCTTTTTGTTTTAGTTTTTTTGTTAATCCTCACCCGAGGATATTTTTCCACTGATTTTTTTTTTTTTTTGATAGAGTGGAAGGGGGGGGGGGGAGAGCGAAACATCGATGTGAGAGAGACATCGATTGGTTGCCTTCTACACAACCCTGACTGGGGCCAGGGATTGAACCTGCAACCCAGGTATGTGCCCTCGACCAGAATCCAACCTGGGACCCTTAAGTTTGTAGGCCAGTGCTCTAATTGCTAAGCCAAATGGACCAGGGCTACATTATGATTCTTTATAGCTATTTATGTGGGTCCAGTTTGTAGTCAACTTTCTGTATTTGTTTGCAAACTTAACAACACCTGGTGCTGGTTTTTTGGCCTATTTGACTTGAAGGAACATGGTGCAGTTAACAGCTTTTTGGCCTGCTTGGTTGAGTGAAAAATGCAGAAACTAAGGATGCATATGTAATTTTTTTAAATGACATTTTTATGTAGGAGAAATCTGAGGTTTTTTATTCAGCCTAGTCTCTTTTAAAGGCACGGTTTCGATTGGTTATTCTGACTGAGTTTCTATTTATAGAGACAGCTGTGTTTCCCTTTTGTTAAATTTATAGTGTCTCTGAGACTGTGTTGGATTGGTATCATTTTAATATCTGTGACCAGCCTTTTCTAAGTGCTTCTCAAGATTTTATTTGGAGATTTAATGTTGACTCGCTTATGCAATTTTTTTTTAATCCTCACCCGAGGATATGTTTCTGTTTATCATTAGATAGAGTAGGAAGGAGGGAGAGAAACATTGATGTGAGAGAGACATCTCGACTGGTTGTCTCCCACATGACAAGACCAGGTCCGGGGACGAACTGCAACTGAGGCATGTGCCTTTGGCAGGAATAAAACCTAAGACTCTTTGGTCCCTGGGCTGCCGCTCTAACCGCTGAGCCGAACTGGCCAGAGCAGTGTAATCTTGAATAACTGGCACTGTTCTGGTAGCTCTCAGAGTTCCCCAGTTCTGCATTCCGAAGTGAGTGCACCGCCCGAGACAGAGCAGTGCGAGCTGTGAGGTGAAGACGAGTCAGTGATCGGACAGGTGCGTATGTAGCGCAGGACCCCCGATGCTTGGCATCGGCATGCTTCGTGAAGGCTGGGGGTGGCCTGGATGAGTATGGTGACTGCAGCAGGGCTCGGGTCTGCTTGCGGGGGTGATGCTCCTTGTTGGGGGACCAGGAGAATAAGTCTGCACAGTGACCACTGCTCTCTAACCCCTCCTCCTTTTCGGTGGCAATTTCAGAAGGCAGATGCTCCTATGATGGAAGTAGGAACAGTCCATCCACAATGATAATTTTATAAAGCGGGGCAGCAGAGTTTGCAATAATAATTTTATTTATTTTTTTAATCTTCATCTGGGGATATTTTTCCACTTATTTTCAGATAGAGCGGGAGGGAGGGAGGGAAAGAGAGAGAGGGGGCTGAGGGTGAAGTGCAACCGAGGTACGTGCCCTTGGCTGGAATAGAACCTGGGACTTTTTGGTCTGTGGGCCAACACACTAAATGCTAAGCCAAACCTGCCAGGGCTGCAATAATTATTTAGATAAGGAAATAAAGTCTGCATCTTTTCTGTTTACATCCACGCTGTGGTTCTGGATTAGGAGAAACAAATGTGGTCCTTGAACATCACTGAGTTGGCAGACCTCAGGAAGTTGAAGTGCTGGAGTCAGAGGAAGATTTCTAGCAATTTCTGCATCTAGCCACCAGCGAGATGTGGGAGGATGGAGTTTTTCTTAACCGAGAGCACGGAAGATCATATATGCTGAGTAGGAGCAAGTTGTGGGGGATGGACAGTGTGCTCATCCTCAAATCCTAAAGGATGGAGTCAAGAGCAGAGTGACCTATGGTGTGAGGAGGCGGGGAGAAGACTAAAGAGAGGGCAGAGGCTGGTGGAGCTGGTCCAGAGAGGAGAAAGGTGAATCCTTTTGGAGGAGGATCTGCAGTTTAGGGACAGTGGAATCTCGTCACCGGATGAGGATTGGCTGATGCCTGGGAGAAGCTGACCCTGGAGTCTTCTGTTCCTCCTCGTCTGTGTCTGTACTGTGCCTTCACTCACAGTAGGCATTGGTTGCAGCTCGTTCTTGATTACCTCAGTATGAGTTCGATTGCCGAATATTTTTGTTTGGGGAAATTACTTCTATTTGGAAAATGCTTTCATACAGAAATCAGGGCCTTGATTATAAGGTCTTGCAACAGTCACATTTGTTTTTGGGCTCTGGTGGTTATTTCTAAATTTTGAGGTGCTTTGCTCTTTCTTGGGTGACCTGATAGCTCGCTGGAATGTGGGTTCTGTGTGTGACACCTGAGAGTCCGAGTTGGCATTCTCCAGCTCTCGTGGTGCTGAAGGAGCAGCATTCATTCCACACAGCGCCGCTGAAGAAGCTGACCAAGGGACCAGCCGGGGATGTAGATGGGGCTTATCTGGGGGGACCGATGAGTCAGAAGAAGGAGTAGAGGATGGCATTGTCTGTACGCTGGGACTTTAATTTGTGTGAGACCAAAGGAGGAAAGATGTATTGTGTTCAAAATTTAAATTTACGTGGCACACCATCTGATGTAGCATGTCTCTTTAGCTTGGTTTGGTGTGGAACCTAGACTAGGAGGTGAGTTCCTGGGATTCAGTACAAGTTGATGTAATGACTCTGATTTCAGGGGATTCTGGGCATAAAATGATAACGATATTTGCAAAGACCCTTAAGGAGCTGGGAAGGGAAACATGGAGCTGGCTATGTTGGACACTAAACTGGATGGGGAGGCGGCATCTTCATGGTTCATAAGTTATCCAGCTATAAATTTATTTGAATAGCAGACTTGAAAAGCATTTGAAGTCCAAACCTTAGCATGTTTTTAAAGAAAAACAACTTGCCCGGCCGGTGTGGCTCAGTGGTTGAGGGTCGACCCATGCACCAAGAAGTCACCGATTCAATTCCCGGTCAGGGCACATGCCCAGGTTGTGGGCCTAATCTCCAATGGGGGGCATGCAGGAGGTGGCCAATTGATGTTCTCTTTCTTCAGTGTCACTATCTCTCCCTCTCCTTTCCTCTCTCTGTACAGTCAATAAAGAAAAAAAAATTTAAAAGGAAAACAATTAACGATATGAATAAAAGTACTCATTTGCTTGGATGAGATAAAAGACTTAAAAAAGCTATGATATTTCAGAATTGAAAATAATGAGAGTGCTTACAGGGAAAGAGAGTGTTTGTCAAAATGCATACAGGTGGTTTGCAGCTGCACCTGAGGGTGTTTGGAGCTGCACATGCTCTTCATGTGAGATTTATTTATTTGTTTTATTATTATTTTTCTTAAATCCTCACCCGAGGGTATTTTTCCATATATCTGCAGATAGAGTGTAAGGAAGGGGGTTTGCGGGGGGAGAGAGAGAAACATCTATGTGAGGGAGATACATCGATTGGTTGCCCCCTGCATGACCCAACCAAAGCTGGGGAGCAAACCACAACAGAGGTACGTGCCCTTGATGGAAATGGGACCCACGACTCTTTGACCCATGGGCTGTTGCTCTAACCACTGAGCAAAATGGGTCAGGGCCATGTGAGCATTTTTAAATTTCTAAGTTGGTTCATTTGGATGGTTTAAAGGTTATAAATGGTTTACAGCAAAGTTTTCTAAAAGTAAGCTAATTACAAGACCTATGATTCATCCAGTAAATTCTCATGGAGCTCTACTAGGTGTTGGAGATGGTGGTGAACATGATAAATAAGGTGCTTGCTGCTGTGGGCATTGTATTTTACAAGGGGAGACAGAATAACCTGATTTGAGAACCAAATAATTGTAAATAGTGAAAAGTGCTATGAAAAAAATTGAGGAAAGTGTGTGTGTGTGTGTGTATGAGAGTGTGAGCGAGCGTGATGGACAGACAGACAGGAGTGGGTGGATTAAGATCCACTGGAAAGGAAATGGAGAAGACAGGCTTCCCTGAGACAGTGACTGAGCCTAGGACATGAAGGAGGCCCAACAGAACACCATGTGCACGGGTCCTGAGGAGGGAACAGAATCGGCTCTCAGGGCGACAGGAAGAAGTACAATATGTTAGTCTCCTAGGGCTGCTGTAACAAAGTACCACAAACTGGGTGGCTTCAAACAACAGGAACTGATTCTCTCCTCGTCCCGCTCACTGGAAGTGAGCAGTCACGGTGTCAGCAGGGCTGTGCTGCCCTGGAGGCTGCAGGGGAGAACCCATGTCCCCTCCAGCTTCTATGGCTGCACCTCTGCTCCATCTCCATGTGGTCTCCTCTGTGTCCTTGGTGGCACTTTGCCTTTCTCTTGTAAGGACACTTGTGATGACATTGCGGGCCCACCCAGGAAATCCACACTCATGTCCTCATTTCAAAATCTTTAATCATATGTGCACGAACATTTTCCAAAGATCACATTGACAAGTTTCTGGGATTAGTAATTGATATTTTTGGGTGGCCATTACTCAGCCTAGCACAGCTAGTATGGTTAAAGCACAGTGAGATCAGAAGAGAGTGGTGGGAAATGAAGGTGGAGGAGGAGGGAAGGAGGAGAGGGAGGGGCCTGTGCCATCATGGATGTGGAGCTGGTCAGGCGGGATGGGCTGGATGTGGGAGTGAAGAGGGATCCAGGGTGCTGGCTCGGTCTTTCAATTTAAACAACTAGATGGGTGAGAATTTACTGCGAGGGAATCTATGGAAGATGAACAAGTTTGGGAGGAAAAACATTTAAGAATTTTTTTTTGGTTGTGTTCAATTTGAGATGCCTATGAAACATCAATAAGGATGCTGGTCAGTAGAGGATGTAAATTTGTTGATCAAGGGAGGGATCAGGATATGCGACATGAACTTGGGAGTGATCTGTGTGTTAATGGGATTTGAAGGTATGAGACTGGGTCAAGTTCCAGAGTAAAAGTTAGAGGGCCCTGCCTGAGGGCTCTGGGGCACTCTCACTGCAGAGGTCGGGGGAGGAGGAGCCCTGAAGGGCTGAAGAGGGTGTGGCTGGCAGGGCAGGTGGTACGTGGGTATTAGTAATAGTCCCACAGCTTGAAGATCATCTGGTGATAGCTTTTCAGTTCCTCAGCGCCAGAGTGTTTCATTGCCTCTTATCAGCTTTGTAACACGTATAAAACCAGCCCTTTTGTGCCTATTCACCCAGTGATACTTTGGCCATGAGAGGAGAGAAGAAAGTCTGTAGTGAAAGGGGAACACTGGATCACTTGCTTGTTTTAATGTCTGTGGTGTCATATTTTGGAACTCCTTACTGTACCAAAAGCGCAGGCACATGAAAGATGCTGTTGTCTATCTGTTCTTAAGAAAAATAATTGAGAGACACTCAAGCTTTAGAAAAGTAGTTTTTTCAAGCCATTCAGTGTCTTTTGTGAAAGACATTTTAAAAAATAAGTACTACCCAAGGAAAGCTGCCTTGGCGTGCTCCCTCCAGCTTTGGGTGGTTCAGAGAAACTTTCTGGGAGAAATCCTGGGGTGCTCGAATGCAGCCAGCTCATTAAGGCACCACCGGTCAGCTGTAGGTGCCTTTCACCTTGGAGTTTCTGAATTCCGATTCTCACGTGCAGGAGCCGCAGAGCTCGGTTCTGGAAGTGTTGCTGTAAGTAGAGGGAAGCTTATGTGACAGGAAAAAAAGTACTGGATTGATGATAATAAGGACACCCTAGGAGTTAGGAGTGAATTTACTTTAGAGTGAATTTCTTTTTAAAGGATGTGAACACATTAATCTGTTTCACTTTATAGAAATACAGTAGAGGGTTTAAAAGTAAATTTCTGTAGAAACTGTTTCCCACTGCTCCCGTCTGTGCTCTGCTTTGTCCTGTGCAATACTGATGCGTATGCTGTAAAACACCCAACTCTGTGCACTGTGTTGTACATTGGCAGGCATTGTTTCATTTATGTATCACTTTGGTCAGATTTTGTTTATGTAATAGTATTTAGTTATACTTTTCAGATAGATGGGTGGCTAAACTCTCAATTCAGATGTAGGCAAACTCTTTCATAAACAGCTGGGTAGCAAATATTTTATACTTTGCAGACCTTATGGGCCTGTCGCAGCTTTGTGGTTGTAGTGTGAAGCAGCCATGGGCGTACCCAGGTGAGTGAGGGCTCTGTTCTAATAAAACTTTATTCACAGAACCTGGTGGGTCACCAGATTTGCTCCTGGCCGTAATTTGCTGACCACTTAAAAAAAAATTATTGATTGATTTGAGAGAGAGAAACGTTGATTTGTTGTTCCACTCATTTCTGCATTCATTGGTTGACTCTTGTATGTGCCCTGACTGGGGTTTGAACCCACACCCTTGGTGTACGGAGATGATGTTCTGACCCCTGAGCTGCCCAGCCGGGGTCTAAGTGATACATTAATGTGCTGTGCCTACAGTGTCAGTGTGAAGATTTTGGAGTAAGTGATAAAGGAGCATGGGTGACTCAGGAAATCTTACAGTGCACCATTATTTTGTTTTGAATAAAGCCCAGTTGTTAAAGTTTTCTAGTATTTGTGAAATAGATTACACATTCTTATTATCCAAAGTGGAAAACTAGTGTTTTCTTTCCTACAGGACAGGTATTCTTCCGGAGCAAATGGAGACACTTTCAGCAAGACTCCGGCTTCGTCCTCAGGTAGGTGCTAAGGCAGAAGGCTGGAGCCTTTCAGGTTAGGGCTTCATCTCGGGTGAAGCGCCGCCTGGTGGACAGCTCATGGAGAAGCTGAAAGAGTCCCTCGAGAGGTTCTGTCTCACTTGGATATTGGGATGGGGCCCACTTCCAGTTAGAGAAGGGAGAAGTGAGAGAGAGCGGTGCCATAGACAGTTGTATTTGATTTAAGGGGTGCGCTGTCAAACCTTTGCCCAACCTGGATGCTGCACGTGTGGCTTTCAGGCTGCTAGCGACTTGCCAGGGTCCTTGACATAAGGGAGCAGGACTTTGGACTATAAAGGTGAAGCCCATTGCAATGTTGGTGACCTGTCAGGATAACAGCTGTTTACACCAAACCAGCTATTGCATCAAGGTACGAGTTTCTCTGACACCCAAATGAAGGGGCAGGCAAGGTGCTAGGAGAGCGACCACGTCGGGGATGAGGAGCTGTCGTTTTCCCCAACACTCATTGCGGGCCTGAATGTGTTCCAGACCTGGTGTGGGTGGGGCGGGGGTGGAGTGACAGGCTCGTGCTCAGCTCGGGCTCCTGCTGTTGGCTTCGTTGAAGCCCAAAGCAAGCTGAAATGCTGTTTCTACTGTGTTCAAATTGTAACATAAAATCGACCATTTTAACCATTTTTCAGTGTATAGGCCAGTGACATTAAGTACAGTTGACCATTGAGCAAGGCATGGTCAATATCCATGGATGCACAGGTCCTTTGTATAAAACAGCACAGAACCGTGCATATGGTCAGCCCTCTATGTCCTCGCATCCCCATCCGTGGACGGAAAACACACATACTGATGTTGTACTGGACTTGCCTTTCATTTAAAGGGAGCACCTTCTGGCTTCTCTGCGGCAGATCTGAATCGCCAGCCTCACTATCTTGTGCGTTGTTGCCGTTATTAAGTACAATGAGGGTGACTTGAACACAGCACTGCGATACCTGGACAGTCCATCTGATAACCGAGATGGCTGCTCAGTGACTGATAGGTGGGGAGCATATTCTGTGTGGGTGCTCTGGACAGAGGGATAATTCACGTCCTGGGTGGGGCTGAGTGGGATGCGGGCAGAGTTCGTCATGGTAGTCAGAATGGCCTGGCATTTAAAACTTAGGAATTGTTTATTCCTGTAGTTTTTCATTTAATAGTATCAACCATGGTTGACCGTAGGTAACTAAAACTGTGGAGGGTGAAACCGTGGCTAAGGGGGAAACTACTCTGTTGTCTTTGTTCTGCAGTTTTAATTTCTCACTCAGTGTTGGCTCTAAGGTCACTCATATTGCCAATTGTTGCAGTTCATTTATAATCATACTGCCATGACTATTCCTTCTTTTCCTAATTTGCTTTTTTAATAAGTATGTGTTTTTAAATAATGGTGTTGAATTATATCATGTAATTTTATCTATGAATGTAATTAGTTTTTTCTTTTTAATCTGTTAATTGCCTTTTTTAGATGTTTTGATGTTAAAATTTAAAATACCCTTGCATTACTGGAGTAAACCCAACTTGAACATTTACTATTGGGTTTGGTTTGTTGATAATTGTTTTTGAGATTTTATATCTACTTATGAGCAAGAGAGGTTTATAATTTTCCTGTGTCCTTGTCAAATCAAAGTTAGGTTGGCCTTGTGGAAGGAGTTGGGGAACAATTCTTCCTATTTCCTTGAAGAGTGGTATGACATTGGAATGATTTGTTCTTGGAGAGTGTGGTAGAACTCACCTGTAAAACTATGTCTGGGCATGATGCATAGATTTAAGTACTGATTCAATTTCTGTAAGACAGTTCAGTTTTCATTGCTTCTTGAGTCAGTTTTGGTGAGTTTTCTCTGACTTTCTCATTTCTTTTAAGCTTTAAATTTAGTAGTATAAAGTTGTTCATGGCAGTTTTTTAAATTATTGATTTTTAGAGAGGGAGGAAGGGAGAAAGAGAGAAAGAAACATTGATTTGAGAGAGAAACATTGATCAGTTGCCTCCTGCACGCACAGTAGCTGGGGATCGAACCTGAAACCTTTTGGTGCACCGGAGGGCACTCCAACCAATTGAACCACCAGCCAGGGTCATGGCAGTCCTCTCTTACTGTGGTACAAAGCACGTGACATGAGCTTGAGCCTCTTAACACTCCCAAGTGTACAGTGCTGTTAGCCAAGCACATGTCCTGCTGCAGGTCCTGGAGCTTGTCGTTTTGCACAGCGGACTTGATGCTCACTGAACTGCAACTCCATTGTGTCTGAGGTTATTTCTTCTTTCTTTTTTAATTCCTGATACTATTCATTTGTGCCTTTTCTCCCCCCACTCCCCCAGTCAATCTAGTAGAAATTTGTCACTCTAGCGAGTTTTCGCTGGTTTCTTTTGAAGAACCTGGCTTTGCCTTTGTTGAATCACTCTATTATATGTTTTCCTATTTTGATAATGACTGCTCTTTTATCCTCCTCTTGTGTGATTTACTTTTCCCCAACATTCTTTCTAGTTGAGATGGCTAAAAATTTAGTTAATTAGAGTTATTTTCTTGTATAAAAATGTTGGTGCTGATGAGTAACATTTTTTTTTTTATCCTCACCCGAGGGCATTTTTCCATTTTTTATTCAGACAGAGTGGGAGGGGGAGAGAGAAAGAGAAACATCGACCTGAAAGGTACACATCGAGTGGCTGCCACCCTCATGACCCTTAGCGGGTCTCTCTGGACCACAGGTCTCTCTGGACCGTAGGCCGACGCTCTAACCGCTGAGCCAAACCGGCCAGGGCATGAGTAACATTTTTATCATACAATTCTGAGTAGTTTTAAAGTTCCATTGTCATTTTTTCTATGAGCTGTGGGCTATATAGTATATAGAAGTGTTTTAAAAATACATTTCCAAATATAAGAGGATTTTAAACAAGTTTTCTTTTTGTTTATAGCTTCTCATTTGATTACATTGTGGTCAGAGAATTTTGTGTCTATGATACTAATTTTTGAAATTTGTTGTTGATTTGCACTGTAACCTTCCCACCTGGTCAGTTTTTATAAACATAAGTTCTTCAGCGTTGGATGCTGCATGGCTCTGTGGAATTGCACAGTGCTCTGTGGATGACCATAGGATGACTATGGTTCATCTGTCCTCCGAGTTTTTCCTGCTAATACAGACAGTGCTCATAGAAACATCTTTATGCACCTGTGTTACTGTGTGACTAGATCCAGAGGTGTAAAGTTTGCATACAACCAAGGTACTTGTTATTTTGATTTGCTTCATGATGTTATTTGCTTTAGAAATGGATGATGGACCTTCTCGAAGAGATCATCATTTCATGAGAAGCAGATTTGCCTCTGGGAGGAGTTTGGGAAACAGAGGTAAGTAACTTTGTCTTCCCTCAATCCTTGTCAACTGTGGACAATGGGATGAATAGAGGCTTTATTGCTGCTGAGTGAAAGCTAAGTCTGTTGTAACTCAGTGTACAGTAGGTTTTGTTGGGGTAATGAGGTCATCATCTTCTCAGATACTGTTCTTTTTACTGTTTTACTTTTTTGGGACAGTAGGAAATAGTTTAATTGCTTAGATAGATGGGTTAAAGATTGTTGCTTCACAGAGCGACTTCCTAATGTGGTTGTGGTGGTTGATTTCCACCACCTGGCATGGGAAGATTGTAAACGCTTCAGAGTTAGGGCAAGAAGGACCTTTTTCTTAAGTTTTAGATTTCTCAAGAAAAGGCAGCATAGGAAGCATTTCTGTTAACTTATTAGTATTAAGAGGTTATTTTTCCAAGCTTGGAATTTTTTATTGTTACTTTTAGAACAGCTAGAACTTGATATGACAGATAATGACACAACAAAAGACCTTCTCCCAGTCCACCTTTAAATTTGATAATAAAGTGCTGAAAATATTCTGCACTGTGGTTTCTTTTTCTTTTTTTTAATGGGATCTGTTTAATTTACAGCTTTTAATAAAATATAAATCAGCATTCACAATATCTTATCTTTAACTGTGCTGGTTCCTAAGATCAAGTAACAGCAAAGTCAGTATAGTTTTATGAAACATATAGTGGCCACACTTGTATCACTGTCTGGTTCTATTTTTAGAATTAACGGGAAAAAATTCAGTCCAATAAACCACAGTGACTTAAGTCTTTCACATGTTTCAAGCAAAGAAAAGAAAAATTCAAGGAAATTTTGTAAAAAATGGTTACTTTCACATTTTCAGTTGTTACTTGATTGTCTCTGAAGCTGTATATATATATATATATCAGACCTAAAAATGTAGTAACAAAAACAAAACAACCCAAACCCCAAAACTCTTCTACGAAAACAATCTAAAAGAAAAAGTATACACCAGAACAACTCTATATCTGGCTCAGCTCTTCATTTGGAAAGTAAAATATATGAAAGTAGTAAAAACTAGACATTTGTAAAAGTCATCGGCAGTCGAGGACAGCACAGTGGCAATACGGATCAAGTCTTAGAACATGTATCGTCTAAAAACATTTGCTTCTCAAAAAGAAGTTCCGTGGGAAAAGTAGGTGCACACACAGAAATCGCAGCATCTTTGGGAAAACGAAACAGCTACTGAAAACATTTTTCTTAAAGCTTCAAACAGGCATATGATTTTAGGAAAAGTATATTCTCTGTACTAAGGATGAATAAAAAAATAAAGCAACTGGTTTACTCGCTCCCCACCTGAAAGGGGATGACTGCATTAGTATATGTGCTTTACACATTCATATGCTTTAGTGAAGTTCAACACCTTGCACTGTGGTTTCTTACAGTACAACAAAAGATTATTAGAATCTCTAAATTTATTTAAAAACACATATGACCATATATTTTTGGGGGGCTATATCATGAGCTAGGGCTAATTGGTAGTCTTAAATATACTAACACTTATTGAATTTATTAGATATTATTCTTTGAAAAACTGTGGATATTTCTAGATATTTTATTCATTGGAAACTAACGGTTGATGTGTGTGTGGTATTATTTCATTTGCTACTTGGAAAACTTTTTTTTTTTAATCCTCATCTGAGGACATTTTTCCATTTTTTGTACAGACAGAGTGGGAGGGAGAGAGAGGAAGAGAGAGAGAGGGAAACATCGATGTGAAAGGGACACATCGAGTGGCTGCCACCCGCACGACCAACCAGGGCCGGGGACAAACTACAACCGAGGTACATGCCCTTAGCGGGAACCAAACCCAGGTCTCTCCGGACCGCAGGCGGACGCTCTAACTGCTGAGCCAAACCGGCCAGGGCACTACTTGGAAAACTTAATTTCTTGTTTAGATACAATTAAAACATGTTAATTTTATATTTTGGCATGTGTTCCTGGTACTAATGGAAGTCATTTATTCTTTAAATATGCATATATATTTTGTTTTTTATGTCTGCATATTAAGTAAGAGGCATTGATGATTTGGACCATGTTATACTGCTAAGAGATTCACATGTGAGTTTTGTTTGCTGTTACTAACATTAAATAATAAATATCTTCATATTGCACTCAAATATTTAACATTTAGATATACTTTGAAATAGTATTTTAGAACAGGCTATGTGATACTTTTTGATTCAGACTTATAAACATTGTTGAATAAAGCTTTTTTAATGAGAAAACCTTAACAGCCCTGGCCAGTTTGGCTCAGCGGTTGAGCGTCGGCCTGTGGACCAGAGAGTCCTGGGTTCGGTTCCCACTAGAGGCACGTACCACCAAAAAAAAAAAAGAAAGAAAACCATAACAGGCATTTTACTACAAATGGATAAGTTCATATGTTTTAGGTTGAAATACACATTAAACATCTGATCAAAACTTTTTGTTGCATGTTAATCGAAAAAGTTACCTTTCTTTTTTTATATCCTCACCCAAGAATATTTTTCCATTTATCTTCAGATAGAGTGGGAGGGTACGAGAGAGAGAGAAACATTGATGTGAGAGAGACACATCGATTGGTTGCCTCCCGCACGACCCCGACCAGGGCCAGGGCCCCAACTACAACCAAGGTACGTGCCCTTGTCTGGAATTGAACCCACGACCCCTTGGTCTACAGGCTGACGCTCTAACTGCTGAGCCAACCCGGCCAGAGCTGAAATGGACTCTTTCATTGCTTAAAATATATGAGCTTTCCTTGTTCTGTGAACTGCAGCCTAAATAGCCGTACCTTCGTGAATCACACATATCTTTAGCGTCTGATGGAATGTTGATAAGTTGCTTAGACCCAAATGCATGTGACTTGAGGAGTTTCAGAGATCCCCGACTCCCCTGGGGTGGGATATGACGGAGATGGCCAAGATGGTTTATGAGGCTCACAGACAGTGCTTTAACTTAAGTGACAGTTAACGGGGCAGTGTAGCTGTCTGTTACGGTTTTTTGTTTTAAATAACCCCGATACTTTCCATAGCAACTCTGCCCTCAGAATTCTTAATGCAATGGTGGAGACATGTGGAAAGAGGCGTTACTAAAAAGAGCTACAAGACAGTGCGCTGGGAGTGTGGGAGGATTGATTGTGACTGGAGTGCTAACGGAAGACTTCCTGCAGGAAGTGGCCTTTGGAGGGGCTGGACGAGTGCAGAGAGTTTTGGTAGGAAGAGCAGAAAAGCTGGCAGTGCCAGGCTGAAGGAGCAGCATGAGGGGTGCAGATAGGAGAGGTCCATGGGGGTGTGGGAGTGGTTTGTGGGGATTGAAATGGTAGGTGTTGAGAGTTGGAGTGGGGTGCAGGAAGGCTAATAGGGGACACGTGTGTTGGGGGGGGATGTGAAGGGCAGTGGCCTCAGCTTGTTTCTTCTATCATGGGGTCTCTTCCTCTGTTCGCTTTAGAAATGGAAAGCTTGAGTGATGTCAGGGCTAGAAAAAATGCATAAGTAATAGAATGATCTAGAAACAGGACAAAGGGTATAAACTTTTCAGTAGCAGTGACTTTCGCACGGGGCGTGGTGTGAATAGAGCTCTCAGGTGAGGTTCGATACAGGAAAGTCAGTGGAATTTTCTGATTGAAGATCACTAGTAAAATAACAACTAGTATAAAGCTATATTTCAGTGGTATATTTATGTTTTTACCTTCATATCATGATTTAAGAGTTTAAGAAAAAAATAACTTGGGGTATATTAATTATATCTTTATAAATGTCTGTACTGCTCTCCTCCTGTTTCTGAAAGTCCCCAAGATGCTTTTCCTTTCTGAATATTATGACGTGCATGAAGTTATGCTACAGAATTCTAACCCTGTCTGAATCTTTCAGATGCCGGGGAGTCTAATAAGAGGGAGAGCACCTCCACAATGGGTGGCTTTGCAGTTGGAAAGGGTTTTGGAAACAGAGGTAACCTGCTTGCGATGTCTTAACCGTCGAGGCTGAGTGAGCACACGTTGTTCTGCCTTGGGTCCCTAGCTCCCTGGGACACATGGGGAGTGCATGCCTTTCCCAGCATTGCTGCGGAGCACGGCTGCCTCCACTGTCCTGGTCACAGGTTAGAGCAGCAGCCTGTGCTGCCGCGGGGTGTCTGCTGTTCTGGGCAGCGTTCTTATAGCTGTGCTCCTTGCTGCAGCATCTCTTCAGATCGACTGACCCACAGGTGAACCCCAGTTCTTATCTTCTGTGCTCAAGACTCTCCCCAAACAAGAGATCTACAGTATGTCATACTTCCAAGTGAATTTGAGTCTCCATCTTCAGTTGAGGAAAGAACCAGTGGGAGCTTTGAAACTAAACTTTTTTCCTAAAAACATTTAAAAACTGTAGATCAAAAGTAGAGTTTATGTTCATGACCAGTAGTGTGTAGCTGGAGGACTTTCCCAAGCATTTTGGAAGCCCAGCACTTGGCTCTCTTGGGGAGGGGAACAGGGAGGGAAATGGGCAGTTGTAGAGGCAGTAGAATGAAGCCTTCTCTGAACCAAAGATTGCCCATATTTAAATGAATAAAATAACTAAAAACTTTGGTTTTGTGATAATATGCTCCTTCTGTAGGGGTTGTCTTTTTGTTGTTGTTAATCCCCACCTGAGGATATTTTTCCATTGATTTTTAGATAGATGGAAGGTTGGGAAGGAGCCAGAGAGAGGGAGAAACATTGATGTGAGAGAGACACACTGGTTGCCTCCCGCATGACCCCTACTGGGGTCGGGGATCAAACCTGCACCCAGGTACATACCCTTGACCGGGAATCGAACCCACAACCCTTTAGTTTACAGGCTGATGCTGTAACTGTGGAGCCAAACTGGCTTTTTAATTTTTTTAGGTTTATTTTATTTTTTTGTAGGGGTTATCTTTATTTCAAAATTATATATCTGCTCAGGGAAAAACTTTTTGTCATCTAATCATATTGAGGCCATAGGGTGCTTACTTTATATGGTAATAGTGTATTAAATTTCCATGGAGTTTTACGCTGGAAAGGATATTACATTCTGGTTGAACCTGAGATGTTAAGTGACTTGATGTGTATACATTCTGCATGTAAATTTAATGTCTGTCAAACAGCAATCGATTAGTCTCTCAGTCACAGAAACTGCAATTTAGTATGTCACAGTTTAGATCCAATACTGATTTATAGGCTCCTGTATTGACCATTTATTTTTTAAAATTTTATCCTCACCTGAGGACATTTTTGCATTTGTCTTCAGATATAATGGGAGGGAGAGAGGAAGGAAGAGAGAGAGAGAAACATTGATGTGAGAGAGACACATCAAGTGGTTTCCACCCACATGACCCCAACTGGGGCCGGGGACAAACTGCAACCGAGGTACGTGCCCATAGCGGGAACCAAACCCGGGTCTCTCTGGTTCATGGGCCAGCGCTCTAACCCCTGAGCCAAACTAGCCAGGGCTTGACTATTCATTTTAAAGTATATTATTTCTTGAATTTCTCAACACTCAACATTTAAAAATGTTATAAAATATTACTGATGGATGCTTTTAAACTTAATTTTAGAGACATGTCTATATGCTCCAGAGATGCATAAATTTAGACACAGATTTTTATTAAGTGAGGAAATTGAAAGCAGAGCTTGGTGAAAGATTAAAAATATCTTTTTTATAGGTACAGAAGTTGGCAGAATTTTGTTACTGAGAAGGGAAAGATTACTGAATATTGAATTACAATTTAGTTGTACTGTCCTCTGGCAGATAAAGAAATTATGAGTTAATTTATACAATTTAAAAATTGTGATGCTTTGAATAGCAAGTCTATAGGGATGATACTGACATACACCCTGTTGTAACCATGGACACATAGAGGGCAGATAATGTCTGTGATATGACCTTGTACACATAGAGGGCATATAACAGCTGTGGTGACAGAATCTTGACTGACATTTTAACCTCAATAGATTGACACAGGGCAGCCATGGCTGGGTGGCTTGGTTAGTTGGAGTGTTGCCCTGTATACCCAAAAGGTTTCGGGTTTGATTCCTGGTCAGGACACAAACCTAGGTTGTGGGTTTGATACCTAGTTGGGTGTGTATGGGAGGCAGCCGATTGATGTTTCTTTCTCACATCAGTGTTTCTCCCTCTCTCTCTTTCTCACCCTTCCTCTCCCTCTCCCTTTTCCTCTCTTCTCTCTCCTTCTCTCCCTCTCTCCAAAATCAATACAAACATTTCCTTGGGTGGGGATTTTTTTTAAAAAGTGATATGTGGGGAAAAAACCAGATCGACACAAGACAGAAATTGTAATACAACCTATGCAAGTTCTTCTTCAGTATTTGTATGGACAGTTGTCTGGTTTATCCTGTTCTAAAAGGTCACCATTACAAATAGTTCCTGGGACTTTTTAAATGCCATAGAGATCCAGGTCATTACTGTTTTCAGAGATGTGCAAGTTTCATCTTGATTCTGTGTAGGTTTCCCCAGCAACAAGCTCGAGGACGGCGACGGCGCTGGTTTCTGGGGAGGTGAGTGCGGGCTGTTGGTGGTGACGGTTAACTTAATGTGTGCAGTGCCTGCTAAAGAGAATCGAGACCAGCATTTTAGTCTGTTCCAGTTCTAGTTTACTTATCCCAGTTTTATGGAGCAGCTGTAGCCACCGCCTTCTCCAGGAATCCAGGCACCCTGATTTGGCCCAGTGCCACGCGCCTGAACCGGCGCGGTGCAGCCCTTGAATGCTGTGCACTCTAAGGAAAAGGTGATGATGCAACAGCAAATCAAGAATGGAAATTACACTTCCAAATGTAAACACAGTTTGGGACATATAGGTCCCCGTTCAGATTCAGTTAAGTCTTGACAGTTGAAGGTTGACGAGAACATCGCTCACTGCTGAAGTCCAAGGCGCTCCGGTGGGTTCTGACTGGTGTGGAGGGCTGCGGGCGAGGGCAGAGGAGCGGGTCCAGAAGGCAGACGGCAGTGCACAGTGCTTCCCAGCATGAGCTGCCAGAGCAGGTTCCGGGGAAGCCTGGGGCCTGTGTTAAAAAGCAGCCCCGGTGACTGATGCCTCCCCTGTTCATGACCACTGGTACGTGGGATCTCGACAGCAGCTCATGTGGAGTTCAGACGTCGTTTCCCTGTCCCCACCCTGCTCCCTGCTGGTGAGTGACTTGGAGCCGCGGGTTCCTGTCCTGTGGAACAGAGGCCCCGCTTCACAGGGTGTTAGGCAGATGGACTGAGCGCGTGTGAAGGCCCGAAGCTCCACCAGAGGAGCCGGGGCAACTGGAAATGCCGCCTATTTTCATCAGATGTTTGAGACTTGATCTTATGCCCTTAACAGTGATTCTCAAAGTCAAAACCAAACCCTTTTGGAATAAGGTGGGGCTTTAATATCAAATAAGACTGTCCCCCCAAACTCTGGGCCGTCCCAGTCTCCCTGCGTCTCTGCCTTTCCTCCTCTCCCATTCCAGTGGACACACAGCACAGCACTAGTGTCGTGCAGAGAACACCATTCTGTCCTTGCTGTTCTTCTTGAGCTAATCTCCTAGTTTTTAATTAATTGCTATCCAGGATCATTCCCTCTTACCTGAGACCTCCCTCCTGGTGCCCTGTCAATAGTGGGCACTGTGGAGCCAGAGCCCAGCTCTCAGTGCCCGCGAGAACGGCTTCCTTCCAAACGCTGGGTCTCTCCTCGGTGCTTTGTCCTGGCCTCGTTCTTGCTTCCTCTGAAATAAAACGGAAACAGACGCAGGGACCGAATTCTTCCCGACACGGATTGTTGGCAGGCCCAGGAGGCAGCTCGATGCCACGCACACTTGTCCTCAGTCGGCTCTCCCCGCTGGGCTGGCGTCGCGATGAGGAGTCCGATTTTGGACTTGGACACCCAGATCCTCCTCCTCCTCCTGGCAGTTGTATTATTTTGAAAAAAACATTTACCTTCTCTGCATTTCATTTTTCTCCATTTATAAAATGATTTTTGTGAGGATTTAAAAAGATGGCACATGTACTTCATTTAAAACAGTGCCAGACACGATCCTAAGTTCTGTCTGTGCCATTACTATTATTTTTACATAGCTAATAGGTTGTAACTAATCTTGGGATCATTATCTAATTTTTTTCTGTGCTTGGCTTTACTTTATAACTTTACAGAAATTCATTTTTGTATAAATCTTTTTATTTTGAATCAGTTTAAGACTCAAATGAAGTTGGGAACTAGTCGAGGGTTTCCTTCACCCTTCTCCCAGCATCACCGCACCTTCCTCCAGCTCTCCTTTGGTCGTCAGCCTGTTCTAATTCCCAGTGCTGTAGAATAACTGCAGGTTTGTTTCAGGGGAGTGATTGGCCAAAGATAATTTAAGATCGCTTTCTCCTCGCCAGGCTCCTAATTGATAGGTTTTTTTCCTGTAGAGCAATAGATGTCAGCTTTCACCATCAGCATTTGAGGGTTGACTTCTTTCCAGTTGCTCCTGTTCAGCCCCTGAGTGTACAGTCCGCTTCTCAGAGGCTGCCAGGTGCCAGAGGGCCCCCTGGGAGTCGGGGGCAGCTGACTCCAGCTCAAGCAGGCGCTGCAGCGAGCGCTGGGCTGTTGTGAGGCAGCGCTAATGGTGGGTTGGGCATGCTCCTGCTCTCTGATGTCACTGTCCTCAGGTTCTCGCATGGGGGCATCGATGACATGCGAGATTCCTTGAAACGAGGTCTGCATTTGTGGGAATGTTCTAGAAAGCTTGAAGTTACTACTAAAACAACAGCATAGTTTTTACATTAAAAAATTATTTATTTTTTTATCCTTACCTGAGGACATTTTTCCATTTTTTGTTCAGATAGAGTGGGAGGGAGAGAGCAGAAGAGAAAGAGAGAGACAGAGAGAGAGAGAGAGAGAGAGACATCGACGTGAAAGGGACACATCTAGTGGCTGCCACCCGCACAACCCAACCAGGGCCGGGGACAAACTGCACCTGAGGTACATGCCCCTAGCAGGAACTGAACCCGGGTCTCTGGACTGCAGGCCAAAGCTCTAGCTGCTGAGCCAAACTGGCTAGTGCAAAATATTATTCATTCTTTACTGTCACTTTATACTTTCAAAATAAACATCTCGGGGTGGGCCATGAGAATTTATTTTTAATCAACTTTCCAGATACTTTTTAGTCAAACTTCAGCGTCGTGGTCCTCTTTAACCTGTTTAGAAACCCCAGTAATGTCATTAAAAACAGAAAAGCCAGCATCTCCTCCCAGTTTTTTCATTAGTACAAATGGAGAAAAGCTTGCATATATTTAAAAAAACACTAACGTTTCAGTTTTACCAAAAAGGCAGATTACGGGAATGAGGGTGACAAAGGAACCGCTGTGTGTTTCGAGTGGCTGCAGCCAGGGAAACTGCCTACAGCGCAGGTCTTCCTAAACCATCTCAGTCCCGTTCATGTTCATGAAGTGCTGAACTTTTGGCTTTTGCCCTGCACTTGGCACACGTGGGTTCTCAGTTACACACTTCCCATCGAATATTTAGCTTGTAGCAGGTGATTTGTATAGGGATTGACTGTGAATGATGTCTTTATATTTCTGTTGTTAAAATTAATTTAAGAATTATTTATATTTTAATTTATGAAAGTATTTTGCTAATGACTGTTATTTTTATTTTAAAATTTGTTTTTTTAATCATAGTTGGCATACAGTCATATACGTAGTAGTTTCAGGTGTATAATATAGTGATGACAATGCTAATATTTAGATGTTCCACCTTGAAGTTAATTATTTAAATACTGTTCACATGTTAAACTTTTATTCAAGAGTCTAACAATGACGGTGAAGATAATCAGACGCGCAACAGAGGGTTTTCCAGGAGAGGAGGTAAGGACCACATGTTGGAACAGTTTGTACTGATGACTGATACCAAACCGATGAAAGTGATTTGGAAGAGATGAGAGAAAGGGACATTCTGGTGGTGAGAAACTTGGGAGAAAAGTACTCTGGTGTCTGCTCTGTGCTGTCAATACTGGGTGACTGTTCAGAAGGAGGTCCTCTTTCCACTCTGCCGCCCCTGGATTTCCTCCCTGCTGTCTCCAGGATGTGCTGGGAGTGCAGAGCAGGCGGGACCCCGTGTCCTGGTTAGTCACAGTGCAGATGCGCTGGATGTCTGCCTCAGGACAGACTCCTCAGAGGTGTGGGGGGAGAGAGACTGGGGATTTCTTTCTGTCTGGTCCACTGAACTCCCCCACACTCACTAATCCTGCCTTGAATGAAGTTGACAGGAGAGGGCACGACAATCGTGATGCTTGATTCTTGATTGTCTGTAGGCAGACGTGTTAAAATAGCAACAGCACCACCCACCAAAAGACTGTCGAGAGCTTACGACATTGCTGCAGGTGTGCAGGCGCCTGAGCATGGAAGAGTTTACTATCTGGAACTCCTTGGTAACCAGATACCGCAGTGCCCCGGCTGCAGCTTGGGGACATGCTTTCCCCTGTCGTAGGTGGTCAGCTGGTTGCGTGCGTGCCTGCCTCCTGAAGCTGGATGGCTGTAGGTTTCAGTGCTGCCCTGTTAGCGACGTGAGGTGGTGGACGAGGGACGGCTGTGGGTGCCACAGTGCAGGGGCCGCTTAATGATGCCGAGAACATTGAGCAAAGGAAAAAAAATGACTTAGCATTCCTTTCCCCCCTTTCTATTTTTACTTTTACTTTATTTTATCCTCACCTGAGGACATTTTTTGCATTTATCTTCATATAGAGAAGGAGGGAGAGAGGAGGGAACGGGGAGGGGGGGACGAGAAAGAGAAACGTGATGTGAGAGAGACACATGGACTGGTCACCACCCACACGGCCCCAACCGGGGTGGGGACAGACTGCAACTGAGGTACGTGCCCTTGACAGGAATCGAACCCGCGACTGTTTGGTCTGTGGGCTGACGCTCTAACCGCTGAGCCAAACTGGCCAGGGCAGATTGTACAGACTTAATTCTGCACGACATCCGTGCTCTTTTTGCCTCCAGTACTGGCTCCTTCTGTCACTTGGAATTGGCATTGTTTATGCGTATCCATTTCCATGTTGGAGTCTCTGTTGCGTAGGAGTCTGAGCTGTGGATCCCAGAGATGCTGAAGCGTATAGTCATTGGCTCAGCAGAGAAGGTAGATTTGAAAAGGTACCAAATTGAATTTATGAAGAAGATGGCTGGATTAATCAGATTAAATATCGATAAATAGAGCCGGTGAATTCAAAGGTAGATCGGAGGAAATTTTCTGAATTTGGAAAGCCTGAAAGCTGTTACCAGATTTGGAAGAGAAACTCTGTCCTGTTGTTCCAGCACATGTCCGCACGTCTGAGGAGAGAACATAGAAAGGGGGAGGGGGGGGTGAACCTTTTCCTGTTTGAACAGCTGCACGGGTCCCAAGCAAATTAAATTAAAACAAACTCACACCTGTGCGTGTATGGGAATTACAGTATTACAAAGATAAAAAATCTTTAAGCTCTTGCCCGTGTAGCTCAGAGGTTAGAGTGTTGGCCTGCACACCAAAGAGTCACAGTTCGATTTTGGTCAAGGACATGTACCTCGGTTTCGGGTTCAATCCTCAGCCCCAGTCAGGGTCGTGTGAGAGGCAACCAATCAGTGTCTCGTTCTCACATTGACGTCTCTCTCCCTCCCTGTCTATCTAACAATCAATGGAAAAATAACCTTGGTGAGGATTTAAAAAATTAAATCTTTAAAACTACCAGGGAGAACATACAGACCCCCCGAAAAAGATGAGTAGATTGAGAGCAGAAGTGTGTCCTGCGGTGAAGGTGGGGTGTGCAGAAGTAGAAGCAAGTACCCAGGGAGAGCAGCGCCAAGCCCAGCTGGTGTCAGTGGTGCCGTTGGCACGGAGCCGGTGTGCAGTGCTCTCTGGCCTTCGAGGGAGGGGCTGCAGTGTCTGGATCAGTGAGACCACTGAGCGGGAAGGGAGGGTGGAAAAGGAGCGATGAGCCCAGACAAAGCGCCATCCCGACATTGCTGAGCGTGCTGTACACCTGAGGGAGTGTTGAATGTAGGAGCTGATAATAATGATGATCAGTTTAGGGGTTGTAGACACAACAAAAATACGAGAAAATAAAATACCTTTTTTTTTTCTTTTTAAATCCTCACCTGAGGACATTTTTGCATTTATCTTCAGATAGAGTGGGAGGGAGAGAGGGTAGAAGAGAGAGAGAAACATTGATGTGAAAGAGACACATCGAATAGCTGCCACCCACACAACACCAACCCAGGCCAGGGACAGAGGTATGTGCCCTTAGTGGGAACCGAACCCAGGACTCTCCGGTCCACAGGCTGAAGCTCTAACCACTGAGCAAAATCGGCCAGAGCAAATACCTGTGTTTTTTTTTGTTTGTTTTTTACCAGTTCAGTAGGAAGGAGAATAGATAGGAAATAATTTAAAGATTTTTTTAATTGTTTAATTTTATTTTTGATACAGATGTTTCTCCTTATTTTCCCCATTGACACCCTCCTCCCCTTTCCCCCCACCCCGTCCCCGGCTTTGATGTCTGTGTCCATTGGTTATGCGTACATGCACATAAGTTCTGTAGTTTATCTCTTCCCTCCACCCACCACCTTCTCCTCTGAGGGTTGTCAGTCTGTACCCTACTTCCACGTATTCCTCAGACTGTTCCTATTCCTATTCCTCAGACTGTTATGTTCATTATATTCCATAAATAAGTGAGATCATGTGGTATTTGTCTTTTTTTGCTTGGCTTTTTTTGCTTAGGATAATACTTTCTAGGTTCCTCCATGTCATCTCGAAGGATAAGAGATCTTTCTTTCTTACCGCTGCATAGTACTCCATTGTGTATATTCTATTGTGTATATGTACCACTGCTTTTTTTTTTTCAAATCCTCACCCGAGGACACCTTTCCAGTTTTTGTTCAGATAGAGTAAGAGGGAGGGAGGGAGGGAGAGAGACATCGACGTGAAAGGGACACATAGAGTGGCTGCCACCCACACAACCCAACCAGGGCTAGGGACAAACTGCAGCCAAGGTACATGCCCTTACCAGAAACCGAACCCAGATCTCTCTTGACCGCAGGCCAACACTCTAACTGCTGAGCCAAACCGGCTAGGGCATACCACAGTTTTTTTTATCCATTTGTCTACTGATGGACACTTGGGCTGTTTCCAGATCTTAGCTATTGTAAATAGTGCTGCTATGAACATGAGGGTTCATATATTCTTTCTGATTGGTGTTTCAGGCTTCTTAGGGTATATTCCTAGAAGTGGGGACAAATGGCAGTTCAATTTTTAAGTTTTTGAGGTAACACCATATTGTTTTCCATAGTGGCTGCACCAGTCTGCATTCCCACCAGCAGTGCACTAGAGTCCCCTTTTCTCCACACCCTCGCCAACACTTGTTGTTTGATTATTTGTTGATGGCAGCCATTCTGACAGGTGGGAGGCGATACCTCATTGTTGTTTTAATTTGCATCTCTCTGATGATGAGTGATGTTGAGCATTTCTTCATATGTCTCTTGGCCATTTGTATGTCCTGTTTGGAGAGGTGTCTGTTTAGTTCCTCTGCCCATTTTTTAATTGGGTTCTTTGTCTTCCTTTTGTTGAGTTGTATGAGCACTCTATATATATTGGAAATTAACCCCTTCTCTGATGTATCATTGGCAGTTATGCTCTCCCATACAGTGGGTTGCCTTTCCATTTTGATGGTTGTTTCTTTTGCTGTGCAGAAGCTTTTTAGTTTGATGTAGTCCCATGTGTTCATTTTTCCCTCTGTTTCTGTTGCCTTAGGTGTTGTATCAGTGAAAATTCTGGTGCATATGATGTCTGAAATTTTGTTGCCTACATTTTCTTCTAGAATTTTTATGAATTCACGAGTCACATTTAAGTTTTTTATCCATTTTGAGTTTATTTTTGGGCATGGTGTAAGTTGATGGTCTAGTTTAATTTTTTGGCATGTTCCCAACACCATTTATTAAAGAGGCTGTCTTTACTCCACTGTATGCTCTTGCCACATTTGTCAAATATTAATTGAGCATAATGTCTTGGGTTCATTTCTGGGTTCTCTGTTCTGTTCCACTGGTCTATATGCCTGTTCTTGTGCCAGTACCAGGCTGTTTTGATTATAGTAGCTTTGTGTAGTATAACCTGATATCTGGTATTGTGATCCCACCTACTTTGTCCTTCTTTTTCAAGACTGTTGTGGCTATTTGGGGTCTTTTTTTGGCTCCATATGAACTTTTGAAGTATTTGTTCTGGTTCTGTGAAATATGTTGTTGGTATTTTGATGGGGATTGCATTGAATCTATAGATTACTTTGGGTAATATGGACATTTTAATGATGTTAATTCTTCCAATCCATGAACAAGGTATGTGCTTTCGCTTTTTTATATCTTCCTCTATTTCTTTTTTTCAATGTCCTGTAGTTTTCTGCAAGTAGGTCCTTTACTTCTTTGGTTAAGTTTATTCCGAGGTATCTTAATTTTTTTGCCATGATGGTAAATGGGATTGTTTTTTCAATTTCTCTTTCTGTGAGTTCATCACTTGTGTGTATGAATGCCATCAATTTCTTGACGTTAATTTTGTATCCTGCCACTTTGCCAAATTCATTTATTAAGTCTGGTAGATTTTTGATGGAGTCTTTAGGGTTTTCAATGTACAATATCATGTCATCTGCAAATAATGACAGTTTCACTTCCTCCTTTCCAATTTGGATCCCTTTTATTTTTTCTTCATGTCTGATTGCTGTGGCTAAGACTTCCAGTACAATGTTAAATAAGAGTGGCGAAAGAGGACATCCCTGTCTTTTTCCTGTTCTTAAGGGAAATGCTTTTAGTTTCTGCCCATTGAATATGATGTTGGCTGTAGGTCTTTTATA